CTTGAGTTTTAAGCCCCCAGGTCCGGGACTCGAACTACGGGTGACTATGTGGGAGTCCAGCGACATAGCCATTACACTAACTGCTGGTCCCCCAGCAGGAGGTCATTTGATAGAGACATATCTGTACTCGAGTCAGTGTTCCAGGTTCATGCATGACAGTGACCTTTGGCACATCCAACTTTGGGGGGAAGGTGCACCCTTCCTGGAGGTACTGCAATGCCAGGTCGATGTGTGGAGTGGACAGAGCAAGCTCTTATTCCATCTCCCTGTCTTTTATTTATACATGCAATCATTATATATCATTTAGATTGTAAAGAGACTTTAGCCAGGCTGATGTACACCTCAGTCCAGCCCAGCTGAGAATACTATACACATCATCAACTGATAATAAACCATATCTGTATCCCACAAATGTCTTACCTCTCTATTTTATCCCCAAATTAACTTTTGTATCACTTCCCCTCCCACACTCTCCTTCCACTTTGTCTCTCCTGTCCATAACAATTTTCAATGCTTTTACATCCTCCAGTCTTTAAGTCTCTACCATAGAGTGTGGACAGTCCGTATATGTTAAGCAGAGACATACAGTGTCTCTCTTTCATAACCTATAGCCTGACTTACTTCATTCAGCAACAAATCTTCCATATTCATCCACTTTCTACCAAATTTCAGAGCCTTGTTTTTTACAGCTGTATTCTATGGAGTATATGTGCCACAATTTTTGGCCTTGTTTTTTACAGCTGTATTCCATGGAGTATATGTGCCACAATTTTTCAATTCATTCATCTGTGGACATTTGGGTTGTTTCCATATCTTAGCAATTGTGAATAATGCTGCAATAGATAGAGTTATGCAAATGCATTTCCGACTGAGCATTCTCCTGTCTTTTGGGTAGATACCCAGGAGTGGAATTGCTGTGTCATGTGGTAGTTCTATTTGAAGATCTTTGAGGAACTTCTGTTTTGTTCTCCATAGTGCCTGGACCAATTTACATTCCCACAAACAATGTAGGAATGTTCCCCTTTCACCACAGCCCCTCCAGCACTTGCCATTTTTTGTTTTTTTAATCTTCACCATTCTGACTGGGGATAGGTGATATCTCACTGTGATTTTGATCTGCATCTTCCTTATGTTGATGGATGTTGAGCATTTGTTTATATGCTTTTGGCTGCTCATATGTCTTCCTTAGAGAGTTGTTTATTCAGCTCATTTTTCAATCTTTTAATTGGATTCATCATTTTCTTCCAGGTAAGCCCTTGAGTTCCCTGTGTCTTCTGGTTATCGGACCTTTATCTGAGGCACAGTTAACACAACTTCTCTCCCATTCCAAGGGTTGTCCTTTTTTTTTTTTTTTTTAAGTCTGATTGTTTGTTTATTTATTCCAAGCACAACAGAGTGAGAGAGTGAGAGAGAGGGAGGTAGCATCCCCAACACAATCCCAACAGTACAACTCACGCCCAGCCTTTAGCCAGCCCTGGACTGTGGTCAAACATACGGCTGGCACACTCAGAGAGGTCACCAGATCTGAACAGAACCCTCCCAGATGGGATCACCTCGCAATGCCTTGCCCTTTACCACTGCACCACCGTCTGGTTCCCTCTGGTTAGTATTTCTTTAAATAGGCTTTCTTCCTCTTTCTCTTTCTTCTCCTTCTAAGTTTCCCATAATTTGTATTTTCTACATTTCGTGGTATTTCATAGGTCCCTTATGTTTTATATATTCTTTTTCGTTCCTTTTTCTTTTTGTTCCTCTATTTGACAGTAGCCAAATAGAGAAACAAAATGAGTTTGCTGATTCTTTTTTTCTGCTTGATTGAGTCTGCTGTTGATGCTCTCTGTTGAATTTTTCAGTTTTGTCATCATGTTCTTCATCTCTAGAACTGCTATTTCGATTTTTGGTTTTAGGGGTTTTTTTTCCTACTTTCTTTATGTTAAGTGGTTAATTTATATTATATCATTTTGATTCCTTTGCCATTTTTTTTACTACATATTTTCCAGTTATTTTCTCAGTGGTTGTCCTGGAATTACAACTGACATACTAAATAATAAATATCTAGATTTATTCGTGTCATCTTAATATAAACATTTATGTTATTGTAGTATACAATACGTACATAGGAGAATTCAATTACATGTGCTTAATTTAAGATTAACTTACTGGCACCAGCAGTTGGTGTGAGAAAGCACCCCCAATGGGGATGGTCACACCACAATCCATTCTCCTCTATTTCTCCCCCTTTTGGTACTTTGGGGACACACACATGCATTCAATGTGTTTTTCAAGCCACTGAATCCAGGATTCGAACCATGCAGTCAGCCGTGTGGGATACAGATGTAATGGTGAGTGGGATGGATCAGGGTCAGGATTTGAGTCCACAAAGCCTAGCAGGACTCCAAGCACCAGGACCCTGTCCACATTCCAGTTCACTTTGTAGAGCTGCCCAGATTCGTCTTCATCTCCATCTCGGCCCAGCCCTTGAAGAACCTCAATTCAATAGACTCCCACAACTAGAACCCAAACCTTTTCATTTGGTGTTCATGCTATTTATTAGTGTATAGAAGTAAAAACTTTATTTTTTCTGTTGGCCTCGGATCCTATAGTCTTGCTAAACTCACTTACTAGTCCCAGAATGTTTCCTACACAGACAAACAGGTAGTTTACAGCATTCCAGTTGCATATATTTTATCTTTTTCTTAAAGCACTGGGTAGGACTTAAAGTACAATGTTGAATAGAAGTGGTAAAATTAGACACCTTTATTGTTTCCAGCATTAGAGAAAAAGCATTCCGTTTCTCACCATTAAGTACGATTTTAACTGAAGGCTTTTGTTAATGTACCCTTTGCCAGGTAATTCAGTTTCATTGGTTTCTGCTCTTACCTTTGCTGTTTCCTTCATTCCACTTTCTCTGGGATTATTTTGCTCTTATTTTTCTCAATACTGAAAGTGACAGTTTAATTTTTTTTTTTTTTTTAAGTTTGCTACAGGGCATGTTAAGTTTGCTCACCAGAGAGAAACAGAGAGACAGTGAAAGTAAGAAAGCAAGCCACCAGTTTCGGGACTCAAAACAGCAGTTTACCATGTGGAGTACAGTGTCTCAGGCACCACGCCACCTACTGGCCTCAAGAAAATTTACATTTTTGATGAGAGAGTTCTTTTCAGATGTAAGCTTTTAATCCTGCAGTTTGGGACCAGCAGTTAGTGTAATGGTTATGTCACTGGACTCCCATGTAGTTGACCGTGGCTCAAGTCCTGGACCTGGTGGCTTAAACTCATGCCGTGTGCATGCGTGCCCAAGATCTCTGGAGGAGAATAGATTGCAGTGTGGCCATCCCGCCAGATGTGTGTGTGTGTGTGTGTGTGTGTGTGTGTGTGTGTGTGTTTTCTGTTTTTCTGGAGCGCGCACCCTATAGCAAAAACTTCTACAAAAAAAAAATAATAATAATATAATCCTGCAATTTTCCCTAAACTGCTTGAGCTTCACTCCACAAATTTGTATATATTATATTTGCATATTTGTTCAATTCATACATTTTAATTTCCCTGGAGACTTCCCCTTCAAACCACAATATTTAGAAGTATACTGTATAACTTCTAACTGTTTGGATATCTTTCTGTTATCTTTTTGTTTTTAATTATCAGTCTCATACTATTATAATCAAAGAATGTCTTTATATCATTTCAAATTTTTGAAAATGTCCCCAATTTGTCTTATGACCCAGAACAGGCCATATTTTAGTGACTTTTACATTATACCCAGCAAGAATGTGCTTTCTGCTGCTCTTGGGTAGCATGTTCTACAAATGTCAATCAGGGGACCAGCAGTTAGCGTAATGGCTATGTCGCTGGACTCCATGTAGTCAACCACAGTTCGAGTCCTGGACCCAACAGCTTAAACTCACGCCGGGTGTGTGTGTGCCTGCATGCCCAAGATCCTGAGAGGAGAATGGAGGAGAATGGGTTGCAGCGTAGCCATCCCCCCGGGGGGTGATTTCTCG